ATATACTTTCAATGAATGAGACTTTAGAGGGTAAGGTATTATAACCCAGAACAATGAACATTTATAAGAAAAATAGGTTTTGAGAACAATACTCCAAGTCTATACAGTATGTCATGAAGCTTTGTGGATAAACTGGTCTCAGTTCATGATACAGCAGAATCACTTCATTCTCAATAAATATATTTTGAGCACCAGAAATGTGTTAGTCATTGAGTTTAGGTGATATGCATAGAATAGGGAACAAGATCAGAAAAGATTACATGTTCTCTAGGAACGTTGTGTCTAGTGGGAAAGGCAGTCAATAAACCAAAAGTTTTACCCCAGTAAGTATTGTTACTATTACAATACATACTGAAAAGAGAAAGTACAGGTTGATGTGAGTGTAAGAGGAGGACCTGCCCTTATGGGGGGATCTAAGGAGGCTTCCACAAGAAAGTGGTATTTAAATCAAGACCCGAAGGATACTAGAAACTTGTCAGGTGAATTTGCAGGTTGGAGGATTCCAAGCGCATGCAGAGCCCCTTGATGAGTAAGGGCTTGGCTTCTTAAAAGAAAACAAACCAGCAAAAGTGACAATTAGGAGAATGGGCAAGAATAACTCAAACAAAGCCAAGAAATAGGCAGGAGGTAGACCACACAGGGCCTTTCTGAGCAGTTTGGAAAGAAGTTTGGATATTATCATAGGAGCAAAGGGGAACCACTGAAGGTCTTCACACAAGTGGGGTAGGTTATAGTTTGGTGGGGGCCAGAGTGAATGCAGAGAGGAGACAGGCATTAGAACAACAATCCAGGCTAGAGATCACAAGACCCCAGAGAGTAGTGGTTTGAATGGAGGCAACAGTGCAGAGAAATACAGGAAACTGACTCAGTTAATATTCTGGAAGTAGAAGCAAGAAACCCCCTGCACTTCCTGTACTAGTTCAAGTTTTGTATGGTCACTTACAACGTGAAGACCTTTTGCTGCTGCCACCACGGGTATGTGGAGTGGGCTATTTTAGTAGGGAAGTGATGAGTCATTGAGAAGGGTGGTGTGCAAGGAGGGAGAAGGTGCAGACAAGAGTAGTGGCCAGTTTCTGTGATGAGGCATGGGGTGGACGTTGGTGACATTTACCAGCTTATAAAACAGCGGAAGAGAAGGAAGGGGAATATCATGGGATTGTGATGAATGACCGGAAGGCTACTTTTGAACTGTGTTTCAGCACAAGGAGTTGAGAAGGTACCCAACCGAAATAGGATGGCTTTGGGAAGGGTAAAACTATAGAAGCCAGTGAGTTTCAAACATGTTCACCTATGCTCCTGGAAAGAGACGAGGCGAGCAGAACTTCAGCATGTGGATGCTCTGGTAAGTACGCCTCTGACACCAGGGCAGACAAATTGGTTGCCACTCCTTCAATCTGATACTCCTTCAATCTGATACTCCTTAAAATCAGTTAGCCATTTACTTAGAGGAGTTTAGAGGACCACAGACAAGGAATTTTTAAAATTTTGAAATTTCATGTTTCTTCTTCTTTTTTTTTTTTAGAGAGATTTTATTTATTTATTCATGAGAGACACAGGGAGAGAGGCAGAGACATAGGCAGAAGGAGAAGCACACTCCCTGTGGGGAGCCTGATGCAGGACTCGACCCCAGGACCCCGGAATCATGCCCTGAGCCAAAGGCAGACACTCAATCACTGAGCCACGCAGGCATACCTGAAATTCCCTGTTTCTATGTTTATTCTTTACCACAGTCTGGGAGGAGAGTCATCCCTGGCCCTGTTGTAGTAGATGGGAAGTCTGAAGCAGAAAGAAGGCCATAAGGGTTGAGAATGGTGGGGCTAGGACTTAGATTCAGTGTTGTCTACATGTAGTTCCTAAAGCTTATAATAAGTCACATAATAATTGGATGTGGGTTCCCAGTTATTCCAGAAAACCATATCCAGGTATCTTAGCATTTTAAAATGTTTTAAAATATAAGATGGGAACTCAGTATATGCATGGAGTACCTTGTGCTGATCTGAAAAAGAGACTATGGATTGGGGGAAAAACCTTTATATAGACTCAAAAACTCTTCGTGCAATTCAGTCATTTTTGATTTGTGTTATTAGCTTAACAAGTCAAGTTCAATTTTGCCAAATAAAATGTAGGAATGGGGAGAACCGATTTCACGTCCTCCAAATTCTCCTCATTGTATCTCAAACACGAAACATCACTAAACCAAATATTTCTTTACCAGTTCTTAAAAGCAAGGACTTAAATATTACTATTCAGTATTATAAAACTTTAAACTTGAAATCTTGTGAAAGAAAAGAAACACACTTCCAAAATAACACCGAAAGACATATCTTTTTTTAAAGCTTTTAATTAAAAAAAAAAGGTAAAACAGGAGATGGCATTCAAAAAGACAAGTAATTAAATCATATTTCCATTTCTTTTAGTTTGCTATAACTCATTTTCCTTTGAGTATTGCTTTTTTTTTTTCTTTTTAAAAAAAGCTCATTTCTTCCCAAAGAAAAATTACTAAAAAATAAGTCTTCCAACATAAAATAAAAAATCCATGCAGGGTCTCCTTGGGAGTTATAATCAATGAGTGCACTTTTCAGTGACAATACAAATGTGTAAAATTAATGATGCAGAAACTACACCTGATTCTTACATGTTGATGCAGATGGTGACACACACACACACAAGTGTTTTATTTTGAGGACTCAAGAGAGTATTTCCAGTTTTGACCTGTGAAGAACAGAAACTAGGATAACTTTCTCTGTTTGACAGAGAAATCTCATCAGCTTCAAACACCAGCACAGCCACTGTGAAATGAGTTGAACTAAGCTGTCGCTATCTATAATTCTTCAATTCACAGAGCATGACAGATTCACGAGGCTCTTTCTTTAAAAGGCATGTGGGTGCGTGTCTATGTCTTTGTACGTGTTGTGTGATTTTTAAAAATTTTTGAAAAGTTCTTATAGATTCCATCTAAGGATTAGAACTTCCTTCTGTCTACACAAGGGTCTCCAAGTTCTGTCACTCCGTCAATAATAAGTCTCTTGGTACTACTCAGTAGCTTACATCAAAGACAGGAAGGGAAAGGTAAAAATGAAAAAAAAAAAAAAAAAGGAAGATGAAAGGGTAGATCCAAGAAACAGAAAAACCTAAGGAAGCTTGCTTACCATACTATTCAATGAAGATATAACAATTTGTACCTCCATGGCACCCAACATTTTTCCATCATGAAGTCACGTTCACATTGGCTCATCCAACACAGGCATCCATCTTTTTTTTTTTTTTGTATAAATATCAGGCAATATTTATACTCAAACTTAAATTGGTATGAATGTTGTCCTTTCTTCTTGGTGGGTTGGAATGATTATTATTACTGGAGCACTATTTTGTGACTGTCAATAAGTAAGGTCTTATATGGTTTGCTTGTTTTATGAATACCATAAGTGTAATAAGATAAATACTCTCAAACTTTGGTGAGTCCATATAAATATCCATTCGAATAATAAATCCATCAGAGTCACAACAATTTGCAATGGAAGCACTCAGTCTGTCATAGAGATTTCAAATAAATAGCATAGCTGGAGTGTTACGCCCTAAATGGTAAACTGACATTCAGGAAGTTGAAGGAAAATTAAAGCAGATTTTCTAGGCAGTTAATTTTTTTTTAATGTTGAAATTTTCAATCTAAGTCACAATTTCTGAGATTTGTATTGGAAAAAAAATCAGAAGAAAAATATTTTATTTCTAGTCACCCTACTACAGAAAGTCTCAATCTCAATGCATACAAAAATAGTTATATTTTACTATTGGAAAGTGTTCTTTCATTCTCCAGTGAACTCTGTAGTTGTATTCATTGACCGGAATTCTGAAGGAAACAAGAAGAGGAGATGAACCAGTCTCATGCTCTTCTCATAGAGATTCAATGTGCCATATGGAGCAGCACAACCTTTGGCAAACTTCAGACCACAGACTGCATGATTTAGGAGTCCACTGAATTAAAATCTACAGTTCCCAGATTTCAAAGGCGCTAAAGTAATATTTGTCTGGAAATTACCAAAGGCAAAGAAAATATTGCCTCATGGTAACATTCTAAATAGAAAATAATTAGCACTTTTAGGCAGCAGGGATTGGAAGAGCAAATTTTCTCCAAATTCTCCACAAACTCAACTAGAATTTCAGGATATCATGAAGAAATTCCAAGGGAGAAGACACCAAATTCTAGGGTTTCACATTTTCATACTGCATCATTCTAGAATGTTCTAGAATTCTATCATAGCCCTTTGCTGGAATCCAGTTCTGTGTATTTAGACCAGAACCAATAGTTAAAGAGTTGTGGGTAAACCAGACTCTCATAAAAGAAAAGGCGTTGCTGTATTTGAAGTCTTTACAGTAGATTTTTTTTGTGGGACTCACCAAAGGAGGAAAGGAACTTCTTTAGGTCCATAAGTCACTAACAAATCTGAATGACATTTGTAAGGGTTTACTGGCCATGCTGAACAAGTTGAAAGACTGGAATGGAAGTCAGGGAATCACGTTTACATTCTGGCTCTTTCACTAAAACTCCATTTGTGGGTATGTAGGATGTGTTTTCCTCCTATCCAAAAGACAATCCAAAAATTGCCCCATGGCCTTTAGATATAAAATAACGAATGACATCACCTTTAATGGTGAATTGAGGAAACATAAAATATAACAGTGAAGAGTTCCACATCATAATGGTAATTTCCTTAACAGAAATAACAAATCACAGACCGCCCAACTGATCAAAAGGAAAGTACAGGCTATTCCTCTAACATTTTAGAATTTGTTACTACCATAATGGTGCTGTATACTCATATTAATTGATATCTATATATTTCTTTGGAGCATAGAGATCTTCATATATTTTTGGCGGGTAAGACTTTTTCTGTGAATATAGTACCTATGATATCCTACTGGGTTCCACTATTTAGAACACCACATCTGCATTAACAAAATATTATTTTTCATTTTATACTTTTTAGATAATTGTCTATATATGATGAGAAGATTTAATATTTTTATTTTCAAAAAATTCTCTGTAAAACAGGATGCATCTTATACATATATCTCTATGTCTTACAGAACAGCAATTGCATTGGGTGTGCTTGTTTCTTTGTGTTACAATTTCCTTATTTGCTCAACAGAGATGATACAGGCCCCTACTAAGTTCATTAGGCTCTTGCTAACATCAAAGATTATTTCTGCACAAGTTTTTGCGATAAAGCATTATGCAAAATGCTTTACCCTGATATCAGCTACAGGAGCAACTAGGGATTAAGTCAGATCCCTTGGGGGAATATAGAATTTCCTCTACTGTAGCTAGGTGATAAGACCTGCCTGGTTCCTTGGCTAACAGCTAGGTAACCCTAGAGAAGGAAAAAAATTTAAAGAGACCTTCCTAAGGCTGGTAGGAAGTGAATTTTCTTGTCAATAGAATCAGCTGAACCATCTATTCTGTACACATATGTTTGGAGTTGGCCTTTAATTTCCACCTATTGACCAAGAGTTTAAAGAAGAGAGAAGGTCACACCTACTAAGTAAGTTAAGAGAGAAAATAGTCTTGTCTGTGTGTAAACACAAAATCACATCTTTGCTAAATTGACCCCTTGGGTCTAACACAACTATTGAATTTCCTTCCAGAAGGTATGGTTGCATAAATATTTCTTATAATTTAATCATCCACAAATCTAAACAGTTTTTCTTTAAAAACACCCCCAGATCTGCTTCATCCTTTAACACTGCCCAATCAGCTGAAATCTGAATACCTCTGCCACACGTGTTTTAAATAAAGCCCTGTAACCATAATCATTTTCTCTAAATTTTTGTCTCTACAGAAAAATCTCAGCATAGGGGCCAGCTTTTACTCAAATGGTTCAATGACCTGTTTCAGATATGTGTCACAATGGGAAAGACAGACAGCAAATAAATAAAGCAGTAAGGAGAAAAGGCTAGAAGAAACTACCCATTAATATAACGATCTTTTCACTGGTTGGGAGGATCATGCTTAACCTAATTTTGATTTTGGTCCACCTGTATTCCCTACAGGTTTTTAACATTTTTCTGTTCTACAACAAGCATGTATTACTTTTATAAGAGGGGTATGGGGGAGTCAATTGCATAGAGAGAGTCTCAAGAATATTAGATTAATACACCACATGAGATGTCACTGACGTTGTCTCAGATATTTAGCAGGAATTGGAAGGCTCACAAAAGTTCCTTTTCACAGCTAGCTCCACCTGCTTGAACAATGTTAAGTGAATAATAATACAATTTAAAAAAAAAACAGAGATAAATAGCATTTTTAAAGAATTAAAGCATATTTCCTTTTAAGGGCAACTAATTTAGCAACATGTAACGAGGCCTTTTAAACTCAACTGTCAGAGAGCACCATTAAATATTCACACAAAAGAGATCCAGGCAGCTTAAAGATGAATATTTCCTTATTCTCGAGAGGCCTAATCCACTTGCGACAATATGAAAAATATTCAGTGCATCTGGTTGGGGCCCACATGGATGATGACGTGTTTCTCATAAGCCCTTTTCATTGTTTTCTCGATTTGCTTCAAAAACACTTGTGGGATTCGTCCACATAAAGTGTGCACAGTCTCCAAAAACTTCAGCTGGAGAGGGTAATACATGGATTGAAAGAGATTGTCTTGAAAGGGAAACTGAAAAAGGATTAAAAAAATGAAACAAAATGTTTAGCGACTGAAATGCCATTTTAAATACAAACTACATTTAGTAAAAAATGAGACAGGGAATTAAGCATGCAAGCATAGGTTTGAATGTTCTTGGGCATTTGATGGAGATTCGAAACCTGATTCAACCCTGTGCAACCCTGGGCAATTACTTATTCTCCTCAGTTTATTTACCTCAAAAAAAAAAAAAAAAAAAAAAGATTTACTTGGGTCAAAAAAAAAAAAAAAGATTTACTTGGGTCCTTAAAGCTCTTAAAATCTATGACCAAAATATATCTTCAAGGACAGGATATTCTCTATTTTATGCTCTTGCTGAGGAGAAGCAAGGGGCAAGTAGAGACTTGAAACCTACTGCGAGATAACATTGAATTCTTCATATTTTTTGCATTTGTCACAACTTATTTAAGATTTATTTTAGAGACAGAGAGCACAAGGTGAGGAGGGACAAAGGAAGAGAGAGAGAATCTCAAGGGGAGAGGGGACTCTCCTCTGAGCAGGGAGCCAGATGTGTGACTCCATTCATGACCCCAGATCACAACCTGAGCCAAAACCAAGAGTCCGACACTTAACCGACTGAACCACCCAGGGGCCCATTTGTTGGAATCTTAGTGAAGAAACTTTAGGGTACGTCTATAGTAATCTCATGAAGTTAAGAGTTTAGGTAATACTAGTAAAATTTATCATTACTGAACTTCATTTTTAATAATTCAGGTACCAAATATTGGTTGGTGGTTTCTTCCCACTTAATACTGGGCTTTTGATTTGACATGATGTGATTTTTCTCTTGTTTTCCCAAGGAAAGTCTTTATAAGCAGAATTTTTCCAGAATAAATCTTTCAGACCACTTGGTTATGAGCATGTTCAAATTTTTATTACAATCCGGTTGAAATGGAAAAGGCCTCTAGTAGGTCAAGTCAAAGATTCATTGTTGGCGAGGAAATTTTATACACAAAGACTAGGAAAAAAAGGAAGAAAAGAAGGGTAAAAGGTCAGTATATGCTTGCCTGGCAACAGAGTGGGTGGGTGTCTGGTTTCCTAGAACAAGTTTTAATCCCTTTAAAGTTCATCAGAAATATTGCTTAAGCGTGTTTATCAGAAATGTGAATTTCTTCCCAGAAGGAGATTATGCATTATGTAACACAAGAAGGGCCATGTTTGGGACAACTGTTTTCTTTCTCAGCGCAGGTTTAGACCACTGATCACCTCCTTTATCGTCACACTCTCCCTAGTGACAGGAAATGAATAGGTCAAAACCTGGGAGTCATCCTTGGTTCATTCTTTCCCCCATACCTTCATCCAGTCTATCAATAAGCACTGTAAAATTTGTCTTTACAACAATGTCTGCATGTGGCCACCACTGCCTACCTTCCCTCTGCCTGCAGTGCATGCCAGCCCCAGCTCTCACCTGGAAGGCTGTAGTGACTCTTCATAAATAGCCCTTGTGTGCTCACTCTTGCCTCCTTGCACTGAGTGACCAGGGTGATATTTTTAAAGCATAAATCAGAATGTATTATTTTCCTGCAGGTGTTTCCCACTGCAATTAAAATAAGATTCCTAACTCCCCTTTTGTCCTCAAGGTTCCATGTGACCTGGAACTCTCCTTGGTGTCTTTCTCTGTACTTTTGGTCACCCTGGCCTCTTCCCTGCTCTTTGGGCACACCAAACTCATCCCTGCCTCTGGGACTTTCCCTGGGTTATTCCTTCTTCTTCTTAGCAGGACCTCCTCCCAGACTGCACCATGGCTGCCTCTACCAATCACATATCAGGCTTGACGAGGCCCCCAGCTCATGAGCACTCTTCCCTGTCTGTGACAGGGGAAGCCTATCACCCTGCTCTGGTTCCCTTTTAACACCTTTCACTGCCTGGTACAATTTTTCTTTCTTTCTTTGTTTATACGAGTATTGCCTGGCTTCCTCCACCCACAGTATATGCTTCATGAAGACCAGGCTTTGTTGGCCTTGTTAACTTCTGAATTCCTAGAACCTAGACTTGTACCTGCATAAAATAGGCTCTTCATAGATGATGGTTGCAAGAATTACTGACAGAATGTCTACTTGATAGATGACTTCCTTCAGTCCCAAAGGGAGAAGACTCACTTCTCCTTCGCACAAACACAAACACACAGGCTTAGGGTTTGTGTGTACAAGTGAAAGACAGAGGAGGGAAGAGATGGAGGGATAGATGGAGGGGGAACGGGGACAGATGGGAAGAATACTTTTAGAGAGAGATGAAGGGAGAAAGAAATACAGTGTGTGTGAGAGAAGTTATATTTATAGTCAGAGAGGAAGAGCAAGACGGGGGGGATCCCTGGGTGGCGCAGCGGTTTGGCGCCTGCCTTTGGCCCGGGGCGCGATCCTGGAGACCTGGGATCGAATCCCACATCGGGCTTCCGGTGCATGGAGCCTGCTTCTCCCTCTGCCTGTGTCTCTGCCTCTCTCTCTCTCTCTGTGACTATCATAAATAAATAAAAAAATTAAAAAAAAGAAGGAAGAGCAAGACGGAGTGAGACCATGTGAGCAAGGTAGGGAAGGAGGTAAGTGTGAAACTGCCAGCATCAAAACAACTTCTAACTATTAAGCACAACCCTATGTAGGCACTGTGCTCCAAGTTTAAGAAAAACATCATTTTGGGGCACGGGGTCATGAAGTTGGTTGAGTGTCTGACTCTTTCCATTCAGGTCATGATCTCAGGGTCCTGATCTCAATGCTCTCAAGGTCATGAGACCTTGGGGCTAGCTTAGTGTGGAGTCTCCCGAAGATTCTTTCCCCTCCACCTCCCTCCTCCTCTGTTCCTCCCCAACTGGCATGCTCTTTTTCCCACATAAATAAGTAAGTAAGTAAATAAATAAATAAAACCTAAATCCATCATTTTGTGGAATCCTCACAACAATTTTATGAGGTAGATAATATTATTATCTCCATTTCACAGATGAGGAAACTGAAGCCCAGGAATGATGAATCCCTGGAAAGGGACAAAAATTGGATGTTGGCATTGAGGGGTCTGTCAATCCCGGAGCCAAGCCCTGACCCCACACGCAGTGCGCAGTCCTGTAGAGAGAGGGGACACATGTCTTCCAAGAGCGAGCCTGTGTTTGTTCCTGTTTCAGGACGGGGTTAGTAATATTCTTGATTGAAATGCTTGCGTACAAATGTCCTTTTAAGCTCACGTGAGGGTGATCGCTGAGTGTATTTGGCAGGATCATTTACGGCCCAGTTATTTGGCTTTATTTCTGCTCCTCCAGAAAGCAAACAAGACACATGGTAACTCAAGAATCACAGTTGCTCAATTCCAAACTAGGGCTGACAGATCACAAAGGAAACCCAAGAGCGGCTCTGATGTACTGCTGCAAACTCATTTAACTTCTGTTTGTACTCCTCAGTGGCTCAGCCCCTGGGGTCAGTGTTTGAATATCTAAAGTGATGATATCACTAAGTGCAGGACAAGTTTTCTGTGTAATTAAATCACCTGGTCTTTGAAAACCAACAGCAGGAGATGCAGGAGAAGAAAGCTGGTGTTAGCTTACATGCGGCTAAACTCATTCCCTGCAGAGAAAATTCTGGGAATTCCAAAGACTTTCTTTAGCAAGATGCACAATTCTCACACATGCAGAAATGTGTTCCTGTGTCTCGGGATCTGCTCCCACCAAAGCCCATTTGTAAGACCACAAGGGTTCCTTGATTCTTAAGAAAAACACCTCTAAGTCTACATACTTTATGTCTGGGGTCAGCAAATTTTTTCGATAAAGGGCTAGACAGTAAATATTTTAGACTTTGTGGGTCACACAGTTTGTTATAAATGCACATCTCTGGCATTGTGGCTTGAAAGCAGCTACAGACAAACACAGAAATGAATGGGTTGTCACTGCGTCCCGATACCACTTTATTTATGAACGCTGAAATTTGTATTGTATATAATTTTCTCGTGTCATGAAACAGTCTTCCTTTTCCCCCAGTGATTTACAAAACTGTTCAGAGCCCACACATCTTACAAACACAGGCAGCAAGGAAGGTCTGGCCCAAGTTTGCTGACCCCTACTCTATCTATGTCTTGCAATGACCGTTTCAAAAGGGACATCGCCGAATCTCTATCGCTGGTTTTCCCTAGCCATCTCAAGGTAAAAAGCAATGTGGAAAGCAGTGTTTCCCCAAGTGTGGGTGAAAGGCAAAAGCAGGGGCACCTGGGTGGCTCAGTGGTTAAGCATCTGCCTTTGGCTTAGGGCGTGATCCCGGGTCCTGGGATAGAGTCCCACATCGGGCTCCCCGCAGGGAGCCTGCTTTTCTCTCTGACTAGGTCTCTTCCTCTCTCTGTGTCTCTCATGAATAAATAAAATCTTTAGGAAAAAAAAAAGGTTAAAGCAGGCAACATTTGGCATTTTAGGTAGTGAGTCCCAAAGTAAGATTCTTTCAACCTTCCCATTTACTGCAAGAAGATAGTTCCTGGGCATCTTTAATGTCTCAACACTTGCTAACCAATCTCTCCAAGGTTGTAAGAGAGGACCTGAGGCTGTGAGAAGTCCAGCTCCTCCGTGTGGCCTTTCAGACTCAACCCTGGGGAAGGACAGGGCTACTGGCAGGCCTGTGGAGGGTGGGAGGAGCTGCCCTCCTGACACCAGACTCGGTGCAGGCAACGCCTGTAGTTTACTTGAAGGGGTTGTGGTCAAGAACTCAGGCCCCTGCCCTGGGCAGGCCACACGCAGATGCATATCTGTATTCCTACCCCGGACACCTCCATTTGGAGGCCTCCAGGGAAGGAGGAGGTCTCTTTCCACTCCTCCCTCCTTCCCTTCTTCTTCCTCCTCCCTCTGCCTACAGGTCCATAAGGATGCAGGAGCCTTGAGATGATCTCTGCTTCTAGCCTGCATCTTCTGGACCAGTTAGTATAGTACTCTCTGCTGGGTACAAACACAATATGGCGGGGTGGGGGGTTGGGACCTCTTTTTCCTCTGGCTTGCACCTCTGCAGTTTGTGAATAAAGACTCGATTTGTACTTTCAGTTTGTCCCGTGATCCTCATCAACCACCTCCACAGCTGACTGTTCAACAGGATGCTGGCAACTGGGCTACACACTCGGCTGGAATCAGAATCAAAATCATTTTGTTCTTACATCCTTTACCCTAACACGTTCCCCTCTGTTACGGCAAATGGCACAGGGTTTCTTTCTGGCATTTAATTCCCTCTTAAGTGAACTTATTTAAGAACCAAGAGAAAATGAGTGGCTTGCTGGTAAAGATTGAGAATGGATATGGCATGAGGGAGCCAGTGGGTAGAGTGAAGCAGTGACTGAGATTGGGCAAAGGGGCAGAACTCAATGCTTCTGGGGAATTCTTTGGCCTTCCAAGGTACTGGTGACCAAAGCGCCTGTCCTGCTTCATGTCGAATAAGCATGCATCTGCTGACCGGGGGCAGGAACACACTTACATCCCGTATTGCTTCATAGAGCGCTTTGAAAGTTGGCTGCTTATCGTCATGGTAGACGCCTCGGTTTCCGTGCAGTACAGACACACCTTCCCGCTCAGCCTCTTTGCAGTTGCTTCCGTACATGCAGTGATCGGGACGGTAGTTCCACTGGCAGGGGAACACATAGAGATATTCTGGCGGTGACAAGAGAGAGACATGTCCACAGTCAGTGCCTGCTCTTCTCTGCGTGCCTGGTGGTTAAACCAATGTTTCTATAACCTACATACCACACGCGAGTGTGATGGGACCTCATGGCCCAAGCTTTACCACATTTTGTCCATATTTTGAGATCAGGAATTGAAGGGGCACATACGAGGGATGTTGTAGGTTTCACCCAAAGAAGGAAGACAACGGATCAGGGACAAGAAGGCAACAAAGGTCAGCAGACAGCCCGGGTCCAAATCCAGCTCCCTCATTCAAAGACAGTGCAGCTTAGGTCCAGTAATTCAACCTCCCTGTGCTTCGCTTTCCTCATCTGTAAAATGGGTAGGACAGGAACTCCCTCCTAGCGTGATGATTATGTTTATAAAGCACATGTGACATGCTCAGCCAAATGTCAAGCGCACAGTGGTGGTCAACAGTGTAGGCACATACAATCCACTCTTTGGAAAGGTTTATATGAAACAGACCTGGAAAATTGGAATCAAGGTAGAAGCAGAGCTTCCTCTTTGTATTAAAAAACCAACCAACCAACAAAATCAAAATGAAAGAAAAAACAAAAAATGACAACAGTAAAGGGGAGAACCTCTCCCAAAAGATCAAAGAAAAAAAAAAGTTCCTGTGCCAAGGTGACTGTATACATTGTGGGTGAGCACGTGCACATTCATGTACTTGTATGTGTAGCGTTAATCTGGTGGTTTTTTGCCAGGACCCTCCCCTGGAGCCATTTGGCAATGATTAGAGGGAGATCATGGTTGTTATACATGGAGGAGACCACCACTGGTCATAGTGGGTGAGACCAGAGATACTCTAAACATTCCACAATGAACAGGACAATCCCCATAAGAGTAGTAGTGCCAAGGTTGAGAAACTTGGCTCTAATCCTGTTGGACTCTGAAAATTTCCTTTTGGTGGCTAGGATTATAAAATTAGCAATGAATTCATGACCCTTGTGAGCTTCCTGGCTCCTCAGCTTGGTGTGTTTAAAAGCCAGGGCAAGAGCAGTATGGATCAAAGCTCTTGGCGAGTGTGTGTCATTGTTCATGGGAAAGGCCAAATCAATTACTGCTGTCAGAAAAGCAATATAACGGGCTGGTTATATTGGGCTGATGGCCATCCCTTCTCATGGAAAGGACCACTGCTTAGAGACTACTTCCAGAGAGCTTCGAGATGGAAATCAAACAATGAAGGGTTCATCACACATATATAATATAATATATATAATATACATAATAATAAATAATATATATAATAATTCTATCACTCCGTCTTTATGGGCCATGGTGACACCGAGTCACTCCCCAATTCCTAATCACAAACACCTTGTGAGATTTTCCTTTTCTTGGGAGAACCCCTCTCAACCATGATGCTGGCCTCATTTGCATTCACTTCCACACTTGCCCACATATAATCCATAGCTGGGAGAGAGTAATGCTCATCCTGAAGTCACATTATCTAGATTTAAACTCCTCTTCTAGTTGTGTGACTTTTCTGCACTATATAGGCATGAGGACTCTGTGAGTGAAAATATCTAAAAGTGCTTGTGTGCTTTTAAACTGTGTCTGACCTCAGACAAATTGTGGCCTTTTGAAACCCGGTGAATCACATTGCTCATTTATGATATCTGTCTGGGTATTTGCAATTGTAATCCCTGCTTAAGCACCTGCTAATGTTCCCTGCTGAGTGAATTGCCCTAGAATCCTTCTCTGTTTTTGTAACTACACTGATTGAATCAACAAATATTTATTGAGTGCCTGCTATGTACACAGTGGACAGAGGAAAGTCTGCTTCCTGCCTTTGTGGCATTTGAGATCGGTGATGGAGGGGGAGTGGTTTTGCCTCTTCCCAAGTTGTCTAGCACCCCATTACAAAGGAAACCTTTCCTTTTCTTTGCAGCCTCCATGCCCAGTGAGGGTACTCTAAGACAGAAGGTGAGATACAAAGGCTTTGGAATCAGACGAATGTATTTTCAAAGTTGGTTTCTACTGCCTCATTGCTGTATACGCTTGGTGGGTTATCTGGACCTTAATTTAGAAGCAGTAAAAGGAAGCTACATCATCTGGGGTTGAACTCCAGGTTTATTATGCTAATAGTGAAATGGCTAAGGGAGCAAGCTCTGGAGTCAACTCACCAGGTTTGTATACAGGACTGTCACTACTTGCATGAACTCAGCCAAATTGCATAATTTTTCTGAGCCTGAGTTTCACCATCTGTAAGGGGCAGAGGGCTGTAAATATCTTGTCCAGTAGGATTCTGGGGAGTATTTAGTGAGCTTATAAATACAACTATTTGGAACAGTACATGACATATAGAAAGCATATGATAACTGTAAGTTGTAATAATTACCAGTTACTGTTATAAGAACTATTGCATTAAGTCACTGGAAGAATAAAACAAAGTAAAGGTAAATATGAGCCTAGCATAGTTCTTGACACCTAGTACATTGGTAATAAATGTTTTACCACAGTTGTTTCTAGATATGCAGGTGGCCAGTTATTCCTAACCTTTTATGGATCACAGATCTTTCTCAGAATCTAATGAAAGCTTTAGACCTTATCATTGAAAAGGTACAACTGGGTATATCTAAGAACATTTGCTCATAAGTTTCAGGGTTTATCGATTTCCTGAAGACCAGCTAAAACCCAGCTGTTGAATCTCAAATATGAAACTGGATTCCAGATGGAATTCAATTCACATCTTTACAATCCCCTTCAGAATTTTTCAGAGGAAGAAACGCAGAATACATTGAGCATGTAATTGCAAGAAGTATTCATTCACACAATGCAAGACATTGGTGTCACTGGATGATAAGGCTTGGCTGCTGCCCTTGGGGAATTCATACTCTTGTAAGGGAGACAGTATACAGTATAGTCAAGATGAACATGTTTTTTTTTTTTTTAAATCAGCGTTCATAGAAAGGAGGATATTTCAGTAAAGTTTCATTTAAACTCAGACTTACAGACTAAGGATGGGATTTTGACAGTCAAAAATGGAGGCCTGGAAGAGGATTCAAGGAGGAGAGAATGGCCGGATCATGGTGAAGAGTTTGGAAATCAGAGTGTGCTTTACAAAAGATAAGCTATTCAATTTTGCTGGGATAAATTCAGTCTCTTCAAAGGGGTAAGATAATGGTAGCAAAGTTGTCATATAAATAGATTGCTTTGATCTAAAATATTCAAGAAAGATAAATCTATGTTGGATTGCAAGTTATTAACTTGGATTCTAGCTTGGAAGGGGAAAAAAAAGAAGGAAAAAAATTTCCTTTGGAAAGAGAGAGAGTAGCTCAAAAAATTGGAGGTAGAGTTGAACTGGGTCAGGACGTGGGGCAGCTCCTGGATTCTGAGGGGTGGGCACTAATTAATGTCAGCTTTTCAGCACTGCTGCCAATGCTGCACCCTTGGCTACTTTCTGCTCCTGGATCCCCCCACAGTCAGGTTCTGAGGATATGGTCTGACTGGGTGAGTGGGAGTTAGGAGCCCACGGGGCTCTAGGACTGCATGCAAAAGCAGGTGGGGGGGAGGGCTAACAGGGGGGAGGAAGAGAAAAATTCCCCTGAGAAAACTGGAACCCTGTTACCCAAAGAAAGGGAAATCAAGAGTGGGCAGTTAAAAATAACAGTTGTGTCTTTTTATTCACAGATAAATTCTACATGGGTTACATTTTGAAATTTCCATTTGGTTAATCAGGGGAAGGAGAAGAGGGGTCACACTAGCATCATGGGGCGGACTAAAGAGGGGACATCTATGGAGGTCCGCTGATGAACATGCAGAGTGGACTAATGATGGCTATTTTGGCACCTGATCAATAACCATTCTGAAATGGATCTATTTTAAGCAAGATTATCAGGGCTGTCAAAATCTGATGGTGAAAAATGACAGCATGGGGAAATGTTCAGGGTACTTTCCACTGCTTAGGAAATAATAAGGTGAGTGGTTTTAAAATTCCAAATCCCCAGGCCTCCAACTACTGCAATTTATTTTAAAATATTTTTTCAGGCTAACCCCTCTTCAAATCCTGAGTCTTTGCTATTTTCCTCTCCATTTTACATAGATAAAGAAGCTCATTAACTGATTATCTCAGGCTCTGAAATCCCTTAGCGTTTGCTTCAGGAGTCTACATTTATTTCCAGAGTCTCCTAACTATTTCCAAAGTACCATGTGAATTGATTGCTCCTTACGTTTCTGATTATTTCATACTCTCGGGTTCTCTAAGATCATGGAGCAGCTCCTGCCTGATTGTTTTCACTTCCTGGTGAGACAGGCTTGCTACTCACTTGATACACTACCAACAGAATGGAGGCTGTTGGACGCATCATTAATTTTTGTTTGTTAGTTCTGTTTCTCTAATGTGTCATTCTGGACCTGAGGTTTCCCAGCAACCTCTTCTTCCTTCTTCCGGAATGCACCTTGTCCCACAAAAAGGCAATTACTTCTTCCAGGAAGACTACCCTGATAACACAATCTAAAGAAGCAATTCTCTCCCTCCAGCCTTGATAATCTCTCTCGATGCCTCATTTATTCCTTTTTTTTTTTTTAAAAAGAGATTTTATTTATTTGAGAAATAAAGAGACAGCATGTGAGAACGAGTGAGCACAAGCAGTGGGGGGAAGGGCAGAGGGAGTGGGAGAAGCAGGCTTCCTGCTAAGTGGGGAGCCCAAGGTGGGGCTCCATCCCCAGAACCTGAGATCATGACCTGAGCCAAAGGCAGACACTTAACTGACTGAGCCACCCAGGTGCCCCCATTTATTCCCTTTATAGCATTTATTATAACCCATGATTTGTAACAACTAGTTGCTGTTATTTGGAAGGTGGGTTTCATGAAAATAGGCAATTGTCCGTTCTGTCTGCTGCATTATCCCCAGTGCCCACCACTGTGGCTGGCACACAGTAGGTAGTCAAACAGTATCTGCTGAATGAATTAGTAAATGGAACTTACACGTTCCTCTACCACATGTGTCCTCCTTGCTCTTGCTTTCTCCCTCTCCTTCCTCTCCTCGCTTTCCCTGGTGTGTACTTTCTCTTCCATTCACTTCCCTCTGTCACTCTATCCTCTCAAATCCATTCATTCAACCAACCAACACTTCTGAAGACCAACTCTGTTCTAGGTACTAAGCCTTGCACACTAGAGACAAGAAGTAGATACAACCCCTTCCCACAAATATCCCACAGTCTTCATTCTTGACTTTGCTATCAGAGCTCATGAAACTCCCAGGCTCCCTGAACAAGAAGATGTTACCAGTTTCTGGGAACAATCCTAACACTAGGTAGCTGGGCCTGTGAAGCCCACAACACACTCACCGCTGCCAGATGCTGGGAGCTTTGGGTAGGGTGAAGATCCAGTGTGGTTACACACTTAGAATATAGGGCTCTAGTGACCCTGGCAGGATGAGAACGAGGCCCTAAGGGGGCCACCAAAGAGGCTGTCCCATGTGACTGTGTGTCCTGCTCCCTGTGGCCCCACCAAACCCCTCACAACTCCCTGCCATCACACTCTTTGTATAACCCATGACAATCTATGTGTATTCCATGAGCGTTTCAGCTCTTCTCTCTCTCTGTAAGCAGAATCCTACTGTTGCTATCTGGCTGGACGCCCTGCCTGGTTACCCATACTTGGCTGGTTTCATTTCCTTTCCCTGCCCAAAGCCCATCTTTTTGGAAATTGTTCCTGAAGAAGGAAGAGACATAGGTGTTCCTGTCTGAGAGAGGAAGATGCTGCATGGCCTTGCTCTTCTGGCTCCTGACGACCAGATCATGGTCGTGTCTTCCCATCCAAAGAGAACTAATTTATAGCTGGGTTTGGAATCACTTCATAAACAGGGCCAGGCAAATCTCTCTATCTCTTCAAGAATGTGAATTAGGAAGCAAAGGGGGCTGTTACTGAACATGCATCGTCATTGGCTGTGGGCTTGTAAGGTTGTGTTGGCTCAGGGCTGGGCCTCATGTAAACAGAATGCTGAGAGACAGAATGGAATCAGGTAGTCGTGGAGAGAAGCAAGGATGGCAGGGGCCATGGAGCCTCTGAGGGATGGAGAAATCAGCTCTGGTCCTTAGCAGTTACCCAGAGCAAGTTCCCAAGAGGTCTAGCACGATGTGACCCATATGTTCCCAGGGCCACCCCCTGGTTCCTTAGCTGGCCTGAGTTTTGTTCCCTGGAACATAAACATTAATCCAAGCACATCTTCCTGTGTAGGGTGCTTTTCTGGCTCTGGTCAAATCAACCCTTTCTACAGAACTCTGCTCTCTACTCAAACTCATATGTAGAATTGTGAGCTCAGTCCTCCACCCCTTGAAGAAGCTACCTTGGCTCACCTGCCAGGAAATGTCCTATGGGCTGAGCAACCTGCATGTCCCTCCTGAGCTCCAGCTCTCTCCTCTTGTCTAGTACCCAGTCCTGCAATTACACACCCACAGAAATGGACTATCTAATTATGGCAAGAGTTGTAAAATATTTTTAAACTAATGACTTCTTTGAAAAATATTTGATTTATTTGAGAGAGAGTGAGAAAGAGAGAGAGAGGAATTGGGGGAGAAGCATATGGAGAGGGAGAGGCCAACTCCCCACTGAGCAGAAAGCATGATAAGGGACTCAATCTCAGGACCTTGAGACCATGACCTGAGCAGAAAGCAGATGCTTAACCGAGCCACTCAGGTGCCCTTAAACTAATGACTTTTAAACACATTTTCAAAAGTGGTGTTATTAACTACATGAGGCTATAATAATACCATTCCAGACATGTGCTCAGGTTTTTTGTTTATTGCTTCTTCGTCCATGGTAACCAAAAGGACCATAACAACAAGCATATTTAGTCCCATGTCAGGGCCAATCTCCTCCTCCTCCACTCCCTCTCTCCTTTCTAGGGATAAAGGTGAACAATCTTTTTTCAAAATAGTTTTCTGGCTTATAGAAAATGATCACAATATAAACAAAGAAAAAGCTTATCATGTGGAGGATATTGAATAGGTTTCAGTTCAAGGGTCTTGTGTTTAATAAAGTATCTGGAGAAAGTATGAAAAAGGGCAATCAGATGTAGGTCACACAAAGAACAATCAAGGAGTAACCTAAGAACTTGCCAATCGAAAGCTAGAAAACTTGGTTATTGGGACTGCTCAGAACCAGGGTTTATAACAACTTCAAAACTCTTGGATAATATTTGAAGACTCAATGGATTTAAGATGGGGAGTACAGAAGCCATCAAACTCAGCTGGTTTTCAGCTCCAATTAAATACAAGGGCTCCTGTCTAATTGCAAAGCTGCTTACAACTGCCTTCAAGTATTCTTTACTCACTGATCACGTCCTCAAATAATCTGCAACAGGCTAAGAGGATTTCTGGGGAGGAAACTGCGAATCTTTAGAATTCCTATTTGGGACTATGTCCAGATGGGCTTATATAAGATAGCTTTAGCCACATAACAGAGAGGAAAAGGCAATATTTAAAGGACAAATAATTCAGTACACAGTTACATCTTGGGATGTGCACCAGCTCTCTAGGATTCTCTCTCTCTTAAAATTTCCCCTCTCCCCAAAACCCAGAGGGTGGAAGTCAGAGAGGCCTGCATTTGTACCCCTGCCCTGTCACTCATTAGCAGTGCTGCAAATTACCAAACTCTCTTTTCCTTGGTACCTTTGTCTATAAAAATTATAGGGGATTTTATTCTCAGGGTGGTTGCAAGGATTAAAGAAGATAATGCTTAGAACAGCACCTGGCACTTAGTAAATAATAAATGTCAGTCATTCTTTCTTCACCTTATGCTCCTGGCCTAGCTGACCTGTGCTGGAACCATCTGGTTTCACCCCCTGGGAATTTGGAAAGAGGATAGAGTTAATCTCTCCATGTGGCTGCACCTGGACTATGAAACCTTGGTACTTGGCTTTGAGGCCTGAGGAGCAGAGAATGCGGGGCACAAAGAGAAGAAGAAACAGTGTCAGTGGGAGACAACAAGTCTACCCTGGCCTCCTTATCATTTACCCTTTCCTGCTTCAGGTCATGCTTCAGCTGAGCCTGCTGGCCTTCCTGCCTCAGTTTCTAGCAGACACCAGTTTGCTAATAAAAAAGTATCCCTTGTGAGGACACCTGGTGGTTCAGTGGTTGAGCATCTGCTTTTGGCTCAGGTCATGATCCTAGGGTCCTGGGATCCAGTCCTGCATCGGGCTCCCCACGGGGAGCCTGTATCTCCCTCTGCCTGTGTCTCAGCCTCTCTCTCTCTGTGTGTGTGTCTCATGAATAGATAAGTAAAATCTTAAAAAAAAAAAAAAGTATCCTTTGTGCTTGGGCTAACTCTGGGGGTCTTTCACATGCAGCCAACAGTCCTAACCAATCCATCTCCACCTAGAAAAAAAAGACAAAATCTGCTTAGGAGGAGAAAAGAGGAGGTACAGACCATAACATCCCTATTATTATCAGAGGGAAATGGAATAAAACATGCCCCCAGTGAACAGCCAAGATATTCCCTTCATCTAATGAATTTGCAGTTGGGGATTTCCCCCAGAAACTGTTTCAATCTGCTTTTATTTTTCTTTTCTAGGACTTGCTCCTTCTAGATCTGAAGACATATGAGATTAGGTTCTATCTCAGAGTTTTGTTTAAAAAAAAATATCCAATTACGTAGTAGGTGCTTCCAGGGTGACAGGTTATCACAGGCAGAAGTCTTTATAGACTGACTATAAAATAGTCTCTATTTTAGGATTTTGTAAAGCAAAGAAATGAGCTGAATAGTCTGGGTAACAAGTGCTTTTTCTCCCCCAAAAAAAATCTTTCTTGAGGAGAAAATATGGTTTTGATTTTAACAATACTAAATAAGAAGAAAGAAAAAGAAAGAGGAGAGAAAAAAATTTATTTGTTTTAGGTGTCAACAACAAAAAACACAGATCAGAAATTTTCATCTCCTTCCCTCCCCCAACTCCACCAAATCAGTGATACAACCACGTAAGAAAGATTTCTTTTGCCTCACATGAAAAGAAAAATGAATTGGGGAATCTAGGCCCTTATTCTAGGCTCATTTAACCTTGAACAAGATACTTAGCTGTAGGGATCCCAAGAATCCATTCCTTTCAATCTAGCAATTGTTTAGCCATGGAGGGCCTCATGTCTAGTTTATAATGTTGTCATTCAGTTCTGTGCCCTGCCACTAATTTTGACCACACTTCTTAGAAGAATGGTGTGGCAAAATCTAAAAGATATTCTCCAAAAATGGAGTCCAGTGTTGGAGGTTTCAACATTTGGCCTTTTGTGTCAGCAGCGTGAGGGCCGCCCCCGGGCAGAAGCCTGGGGGGCAGGGGGTGAATGAAAGAGCGCACTTCATAGGGGAACACCAGACACAATTCAGGCTCAGTCAATGGTAGACCAGACTGGAATGTGCTCTGTGGGACGAGGTGGGTGGGTGGACTCCTACACAAATGGCATTCTTGCAAGGGAGCCTACCTGGATTGAAATAAAAAATAATATTTAATAAATCCTGGTCTCCCCACGTGATGGCATTCTTGTACTTCTGGTACAGAGGGTACAACATGTCCTCCCAAGCCAAGCCTGTTGGAATCATGCTGTTCTGGAAAAGAGAAAACCATCAGAGCGGCTGAGGCAAAGCAAATACATCTTGTTGACCAAGAAATGGTGTTGAGGAATTGGTTCCCCTAAACCCCCAGGAATGAAGCAAACAAACAAGGAGTCCTGCTGGCCTCAAGACACAGGACAATGCAAAACTAGAGCTGGACTTTAGAGTTTTGGCAGATGGATGATAACACACAGATACTTGATGGACTAGGAACCAGTAGTTGGGGCTGTAGTTTCTACTCAGAAAATCATGCCCAAATTGAACCTCTTTTTCATATGCTTAATTCTTGCCTCAGAAATGAAGGAACAAAATACAAATAGCAGAATTAAAGTAAGGGAAAACACCTTTTCCTTGTCTTAACATAATTTGCTTTTGAAATAGAAGCAACACATTCATAGAATAAATATTCAAACAGCATACAAAGATAAAATTAAAAAGTAAAAAATTCTTCCTCCATCCTCCTACGATTTCCACCTCCACTTTTCCCAGAAATATCCACAGTTGACAATTAGGTATTCTCTTAGGTATTCTTCTGGAAATTTCTAAGCCATAAAAGAGATCATACTTTATGGTACTATGCTTTCTGTTGCATTTTAACTTCCTCTCCTTGATACTTTTTAGAGATCTTATTTACCTTACTTATAGGTCTAATTCTCTCTCTCTCTCCTTTTTTTTTTTTTTTAGGTTGATCTAATTCTTTTTTTTTTATTTTTTTTATCTAATTCTTAATAGGATGATGCATTAAAAAAATTTTTTTAGACTAGTTCTCCAATGATGTTCATTTAGATTCTTTCCAGTTCTTTACTAGGATAAAAGATGAGGCCATGAGCAGCCTTGTACAAATATCTCTGTATACTTATATATATCCCTAGGATAATTCCACAGACTTTTTCATGGTTTTTGAAGCTTTGGGTATAAACATAGTTCAAACATTATAGAATTTAGAAATGCAACATAACATTCCTGAATAACAATTCTGCTGAAGTTTTAAATTCCATAACCACCTGGACTTTTCCTGAACAAGTATTTCATAGCTTCCCAAATATTTTCCTCTTCCCTGGCTCCTTCCATCCCACTACAAGCCACCTACTTCCAGAATCAATACACTGACAATCTAGGAAAATCACTGGTAAAATACCTAAAAAAAAAAAATCCCAATTTTTAAACATGAAATATAAAGTATTTCCTTACCTTAAACTGAGCACTTCGTATGCGAGTTAAATTCATCAGCATGACTCCTGAATTAACTCCAGCAGAGCCATAGAAAGGGTGCCGAGCGAAGCGGCTGTACCAGCCAATCTTGGGGATTTCATGTTCAGGAGCCATGGCTGCAAGCTGTGTGGCGTTAAATTGCCTCAGAAGCTTCCAGATGTCATCAACAGGTCTCAGAAAGAGAACATCGGTGTCCACGTAAAGAAGAGAATCCACATCCTTTAAAATCACCTTTGGGAGTTTGTGGGGAAGAGGGTGAAAACAAAACAAAAACAAATCAGAAACAAAGGAAATGGTCTGATACATCAACAGTGCCACCAATTTCATTGGTCAATGTTGAATTCTAGAAAGGGTACCCTTTCCATTTCCATAGTTTCCATTCCTCCTGTCACCTTTGACTTCAGGGATAAATCTTAATCAAGGGGTAGAGACTCAAAGGAAAATAAATCTTAATTCAGAATGGTTTAATTCTAGGATCCTAGACTACATTTGTTAAGGTTTGAACTCTCAAAGGAATGCCAACATTAGCACATGGAGGGAGGCCCTCTCTTCTACTTTCATCCTCCAATGAAGCCATCTGTCCTTAGTTTTTTCTTGGAACAGGTGGGTCTGGCATTAGGTAACATGAATTGGACAGTCTCTAGACCAGTTCATGCCAGGCTTGGAGTAAATATTCTGTCTCTGGACCGTTTCTTCTATGTTGATGGGTATGACTACATCTTTTTGAAATAACATTTTCAGCTAAGATTTAGTCTTGGGAATAGGCGAAACAAGTCATTGGTCAGCTTTGTTTGTAGATCGGAATTGGCAAACTTTTTCTCTAAAGGGTCAGAGAGTAAATGCAACACTCTGTTGCCACAATACAAGTCTGCCACTGTAGTACAAAAGTGACAACAATGTGAAAAGAATGGGCATGGCTGTGTTTCAATAAAACTGTATTCATGGACACTAAAATTTGCATTTCATGTAATTTTTCAGATGCTACAAAATCTTCTGATTTCTTTTCACCATTTGAAATGTAAAAACCATTCCTGGTTCATGGGCTATGATTTTTAACCTCTGCTGCAGTTCATTCAAGCCAGCTGCCTAAAGCAATTGAGTTCTCCTTCCCTAACTGCTTAGTTTACCAGAGTTTTGCCTTGGAGTTTGAGACCTCAAAGTCTTAGTGATAGTGTTATCTGCCTTGTTTTGCTATTATTCCCCAAATTTAGTGGTAGCTTAATTAAGGAAGGATTTGAATTTTCCTGGATCCCTGGCCTAACATCATCCTAATACCATAACAACACTTGCAATGGGCTGAATGTCTTTGTCCTTTCAAAATTCATATGTTGAAACCCTAATTCCCAGTGTGATAGTATTTGTAGACGAGGCCTGTGGAAGGCAATTAAGGTTCAATTAGATCATGAGAGTGGGGCTTTCCTGAACAGATTTGTGCCCTTATAAGAAGAGATGCCAGAGAACTTGCTGTCTGTCTGTCTCTATCATGTGAGAAAACGATGAGAAGCAGCTATCTCAAGCCTGGAAGAGGTACTTCACCAGAACCCAACCATGCTGGCACCCTGATCTCTGACTTCCAGCCTGCAGAAGTGTGAGAAAATAAATTTCTATGGTTTAAGCCAAACAATCTATGGTATTTTGTATTTTGTTTTGTATTTTGTTTTGGCAAGCTAAGACAATATTCCATTGGGATCCCCAATATTTAAAATTGATGAACATGCACACTGTTTGATATAGGTATCAAAAATTCAAAGAGATTTCAGATATAATGCTAATGATTGCTGGATTTTAGCTAATAAGGTTATAGCAAGATTAAGTCACTTTCTAGAATGTGTTTTCAGGGAAAAGAGACTATGTGGTGTTCCAATAAAAAGCTAATTCAGAATTACAGAATCAGAGAGGAAGAGAAAGCTATTTGAACCCACGTGAAATAGTACAAATTTCTCTTTATGGCTGATTATCTAATAAGGCTTGAATAAAAACATACAACATTAATGCTTTAATCAATTAAAGGTTATGTAGACATTCACTCAAAAGAACCTTGCTGACATGATTACCCTAGTTTTTTTCTTGGCCCTAAGTCATCATTTTATTAAAGCTATCATTTAATAAATGATAAATAAATTTAAATATTTAAATAATGATAAATAAATATTTAATTTAAAATATACTTTCTTTGACAAAATGTTACTACTCCTCATCAAAACAAAAAGACTCTACTGGAGAAGGTCTAGAAAAAATAAACTATAAAGATCTGAAGAATGGAGATATTCCAACATGATGTTAGAGGCCATATGTTTAATTAAGAGAGAAAAAAAGCAAAAAAAGTGGTAACTGGAAATCTATAAAACCAGAATAAACTTAAATAGGGTAAAATTTTTATTTAACCAATATTCTATTATTTGACACACAAGATTGCTCCCCTTTTTATTATTAGAAATAATACTATAATGGGTATCTTTTGGGGGAGATTTCTAAGCATGTAATATGGGATTTCTTTTCTTTTTAATGTAGTAAATGTTTACATGGTTAAAAATAAAAATATATTAAGGTAATGTGTTGACAATTTATTCTTCCTTGTGATTTTGTCACCGAGTCCCATTCGTTGAGGGAACTGATGATACTGGACTGCTCCATGTTGTGCCAGAAGTTTATTATAATGTAAGAATAAGTAGCTAAATAAATATGTACCTTCCTCTCTTTTACTATGCTACAAATGGTAGTGTAGTGTACACAATGTTATCAGCCTGCTTTTTAAAAAAAAATCATGTAGGAGGACTTTACATATCAGTGCATAAAGATTTTACTTATTTTTGATGCCCGTGTAGCATTTCATTGTGTGGCTCTACTATGATTTATCTAGCTACATATTGTAGGACATTTAGGTTATTTTCAAGCTTTTTTTATTACAAACAGTGTCACAATGAGAAACCTCCTTATCTTAATTCATTTCGAACACACAGGAGTGTATTAGTAAGGATAAATTCATTAAAATATAATTCCTTAGTCAAAGAATACATGCATTTGTAAGCTTGATACATATTGCCAAACTACTTCTCTAGAAATGGACCAATTTAGATTTTGGCCAGAAATGTAAGAGGATGCCTCTTGCCCCTTACTTTCACCAGCATAATGTTTGGTCATGTTTTAAGACTTTGGCCTACAAGGAGCACACCTTAAATGGTCTTAGCCTATCAATTTATTTTATTTTATTTATGGAAATGAGAACAAATCTAGTCTTTGATTATTTTTTTGCTCATATGTGTAATTAATATTTACAGTGCTTTTCATTTCTTCCTATAGGTTTTTTAAAAAAAGTTTTATTTATTTGGGAGAGCAAGACTGAGAAAGAGAGAGAGAATGCACACGAGTGTGGGGATGCAGGGCAGAGGGAGAGGGAGAAGCAGACTTCCCATTGAGCAGGGAGCCTGATGCAGGGCTCAATCCTAGGACCCTGAGATCATGACCTGAGCCGAAGGCAGATGCTTAACTAACTGAGCCATCCAGGTGCCCCAAATTTCTGCATTTCTGTCTTTTAAAAAATTGACGCTCCAGCAAGAATGAACGGCTTGCATTCTACAAGGGAAAAATCAGCTGGCACTTATTTACAGGTACTCTCGACATTCTCAGTTGATTCATACAATAAACATTTATGGAGGGTCCACTAGGTGCCAGGTTGTGACCAGCAGTGACTGAGACAGACAAAAATTCCTGCCCTCATGAGGGAGTCACATAATAAATAAGACAAATATATTGATTATATAGTATATAAGCAGAAGAAGAATAAAGTAGGGAAAGGAACCGGGGGTCTCGGGTACAGAGGAGTTTGTAATTGTAAATAGGGCTGTAGAGAAAGCATCACTCAGAAGGAGGTGAGCAAATGAGAATAAAGCAGGCTGGCACATTTCCAGAAGAGCAGGGGACCAGTGTGGCTCAACCAGAGCCAACACAAGGAAGAAGAATTGGGGAGGAGGATAGAGAGGGACGTGGGCCATTTGGGGCTTTGCTTGCCCTTGGAAGAACTTAGGATTTTACTGAGTGAGATGGCACCACTGGGGAGTTTTAACAGAGGGGCAACATGATATGACTTAGAGAAATGGTTACTGTGGGCCACACTGAGAACAGACGATTAAAGTGGGCAGGGGAAGTAGGGAGCCCCGTTAGAACAGCATTTTAGTAATTAGGGTGAGTTGTGACGGTGGCCTGGATCAGGGGGTTACAGCTCAGAGAGTGAGAAGTCAAATCCTAAATAGAGTTTCAAGATATGGCCAAAAGGATTTTCTGGTGGGCTGTGGGCATCATGTGAAACAAAGAGAAAAGTCAAGTGCAACTCCAAGGATTTTAACCTCAATGCAAGTTATGACAGAGTCATCTTTATCTGAGATGGCACCTGATGTGTGTCAATCCTGAGTTACCTGTCTGGCCCTCGTGGGTACCTACCGGTATTTGTAACTGCTGAAGCCTAGCTCCCTCCTTCCTACCTCGGCACCTGCTCTCCCTCAGATGTAAAGAAGCCCATTGGGTGCTCCTGGGAGGGGGTACATCAAGGGTTTCTGGGGGCACTGATCAAATCATCTAGCTCTAGACCACAATGGTGCTTTTGCAGGTGTGAGCTTGTTAAACTAAGCGTATCCAGTTTTGGCAGGTAGCTCATGTTTCTCAAGCAGACACACGATACCTAATGGTACATCTCAGAGACATGATAGTTCTTAACATCTTGAGTCCAGTATTCGTGAGTTCAATTCCAGGCAGGATGACCCCTCGCCCTGTGACATTGGACAAGTTCCTCTTTCTTTCCAGGCCTCAGCTCCCCATTTGTAAAAAGTGGAAAGCCATATCACCACCACCACCCTTCTCCCAGGTTGTCATAATGATGTAGTGAAATAACACCCACAAAGTACTTGGTACAGTGGCGGGTCCATAGTCAGTACTCAACAGTAACAGTGTTGTTACTGTAAGAAGTCTCTATGTTTTCCCTTGTAAAGTATCAAGTGTAATTAGTTACCATTCCCATCAATGCTCACAGCACTTCAAAACATGTCAACCACAAAAAGCCTTTTATAGAGTCATAGTCAAGCAGTTTTTGAACCTTCTGACAACACAATCTACTTATTACCTTAACTGAAAACAAGTACATAAGGCTTTTTTACTCTTTATCTGAAAAAACAAAGGACCGGGGAGGGGGGGAACCCACTCTCTCTATAACATTGTGTCTCTGGAGGCTAATTCTGCAG